AATAAATAAATAAATAAATAATCGTTTCCTTGTTACTGAGTTGTGAGAGTTCTTTATCTCTTCTGGATACAAGTACATTAGCAAGCATGTGATTTGCAAAGAATCTGTCCCAGCCTGTGGCTTGTCTTTTCAATCTTGTAACAACCTGTCATAGAACACAAAATCTTAATTTTGATGAGGTCTGATTTATTCATTTTGTTCCCTTATGGCTTGTGCATTTCCTGTGTGTCTTATCTAAGAAATCTTTGCCTAACCCAGGGTCACAAAGATTTTCTTCTGTGTTTTCTTCTAGAAGTTGTATAAGTATTTGCTTTTACATTTAGGTCAGTGTTTCAGTTTGAGCTGATTTTTGCCTGTGGTGCAAGGTCTGGGTCAGGGTAATGTTTTGGGGTGTTTTGTACATAGATATCCAGTGATTGCAGCACACTTGTTGAAGGTGATCCCGTGGTGGTGGTTTTGTAGTGGTGCCTCCACAGAGCCACTCACCCAGGAGGCTGATTTTCTAGCAAGTTCCAAAGGGCAGGTTTCCAGCAGCTCTGCAGGCACCACAGTGACTTCTGTGCCCTCCAGGAAGCCCAGGCTGCACCCTCCCAACAAGGACTCTGACTTCCGCTGTGTCTGTGCCTCACTCTACCCCTCTGGATGGTTAGCATGACTTATATTAGATTTTCCCTGTTCAAATTGCCATGTCGCTTCTGTTTCCTGATGGGACCCCGACTGACAAGGTCAAGTGCAAAAGCGACACAGGCTTGTTTAATAAAACTTACTGAGACCCATGACACCCACACTTTGGGCCACGTGGCCCACCCTCAGGTGCCCAGTGTCCTCAGCCAAGTGGTCGTTATCCTTGGACCCAGGGCCATGTCAGTCCCACAGGAGAGCCCGGGTCTGGACCAGAATTAAGTGTGCGTCCCCTAGGTCCTCTTTTGGACCCCTCCCCCAGTCCTGCCAAAGGAAAGCAGCATCTGCTCAGGAGGCTCAGGGTAGAATCTTGACTATCCAGAAGAGATCTAAACAGCGCCACCCCACAGAGGTGCTCCCCTCCAGGGCGGCCATGTTCAGTGCAGGAGCCGCCTAAGGTGTGTGAGCCAGGAGGAGGGAACAGACGGAGAGTCAGGAATCCTAAGCGTGCTTTGGGTGTTGGCCATTCCAACACCCGGCACCACCAGGGTCTGTGGGCGGTGGGAGGTGTGGAAGAGCCCACCGTTAGGTGGCTTTTGCGATAAAAGAGCCACATTGTCAGACTGTAAATGAAGCCAAAAACATGACACCACTTAGTTTCAGGGGCCACAAGGGTGTGGCCATTGTCAGCTGTGTAGAGCACCCTGGAAGCTGTTAGACCAGCGGTTCTCAACCTTCCTAATGCTGCAACCCCTTAATACAGTTCCTCATGTTGTGGTGACCCCCAACCATAACATTATTTTCGTTGCTACTCTATAACTGTAATTTTGCTGCTGTTATGAATTGTAATGTAAATATCTTTTTGTTTTCCGATGGTCTTAGGCGACCCCTGTGAAAGGGTCATTCGACCCCCAAAGGGGTCGCGACCCACAGGTTGAGAACCACTGTGTTAGAATGAGTATTGTGTGAGCAAGAGTGACTCCATATTGAATGAGCAAGAGTGACTCCATTTTACACATGGGCAAAGAACATAGCAGACAATGCCCAGGGAGCCGCCTAGTTGCCCTGAAAATTGGATGTAACCAGCTATACCCCAAAGGTCTGCTACTGAAGATATGATGACGTCAGGGTTACCAGCTGGCTGCCCCAATAAGGTGATATCAGGAAGGCACTCAGAACTGCATAAGAACTGAGGACTTTCGCAGCTCAGAGAGCCAGTCTGGACTAAGAGGTGACCACGCTGTCACTCTGCTCCAAGAACCCTCCACTCTGCTCTGCTCTGCTCAGACCAAACCTGTTGGACCGACCTCCCGGACCAGCCACCCCTCCTCGATCCGCCATGACTCTGACTAACTTTGGAACTGGTTTGTTACCAAATTATTGTATACGCTGTGTGCTTTAGTGTTTGGTGTGTTGATGTTTGATGTTTGAGTAAAGAGCATATTGAAAGGCATTTAAGATCTTGCGTGCTCTGTTCTTTGCTTGTGCCACGGCTACCACAGAGGCATCAGGCAGTGCCAGGTAGATCCTGGGGGTCTGAGAGTCTCTTGGGGGTTAGTCCCCCTGACGTGCAGGAAGAGGGTGCAGCACGGACTGTGAGCCTAGCAGTGGCTCGTGACATCAGCTGATTGGCAAGGCGGTGAGGCCCAACCCACAGCCCTGAGAGGAGATCAAAGTCTGATGGAGTCAACTTGTCAGGAGCAAGATCACTGCCCCATGCAATGTCCCCCTGACTCGCATTCAGAGGTTGTGGGTGCGTATGAGCCTGGGGAGACACTACCCAACCCGCTACTCAGATCAAACAGCTACGTCCTTGGGAACAGCCCAGGAGTCAATGAAAATATCACAGGTTTCCATCAAGAGAACCCAACATAAAAGTGGCTTAATCAGGAGAGGAGTATATTCATCTTTGACGTAGCACTCAGAGTGTAAGCCCCCAAGGGCTTATATGGAGACCCCACATCATCGGGGACTAAAACTCCTTCTGCCTTGTTACACCAGCATCCTCAGATACAGTCTAAAACAGCTGCTCCGCTCTGGCCATCGCATGCACGCTCCAGCAAGGAGGAAGCGCGAAGCGAAGAGCATGACTTTCCCTTTAAAGCCTGGACCTGGAAATGCCTACCTCTTCTGTTTACACGCCATTGGCCAGAGCTTAGTCACATGGCCTGACTTGCTGCAAAGAAGGCTGGGAAACGTAGTCTTATTCTGGGTAGCCACATGTCCAACTAAAACTCCAGGGTTCTGGTAACCCTCAGTTTTGGGCACAAGTATGTCACAGGACAAATGGACAAATGGAGACTTACACTCCTGGGCAGATTGCCCTTCCAGACATAGCCCACCCCACTCCCCCAGGCTCCTGTGACCTCTAGACTGAGGTCAGAGGTCATGCAGTTCCCTTCAGACAGGTGCTCAGAGAGGTGTGGAGAACGGGGAAGCCGGCCTACGGTGGGCGTGCCTTCAGGCCCAGGCCAGTCCTGGGGAAGATGATGTCTGCTTTGAGACCCCAAAAATGGGGGACGAGGGCGGGAGGACGAGACATGCAGTTCCAGGTAGAGGAACAGAGTGTGCAGAGCCCAGAGGCAGCGCTGTGGGCAGATGTGGAACGTGCATTTTGTACAATGAATGTTTGTACCTTGGGGTCATCATCGTAGTGGCCTGGACGGGCCCAGAGTAGAACGTGCGTTACTGTCATGATTTGGGTCCATAGTAACCCTAACTTGCTCACTGCCGTCCCTCCTCTTTTTTTATTTTTTTATTATTATTATTTTTTTGGCAGGGCACAACACATAGTCATTCAGATTTTGCAACATGCATTCACGCAGGTCTTTCAGTGTGGGGGGAGGGTGTGTTAGGTTTGGGTAAGAATGGTGATATAATGGTTTAGCGCTTGTGCACACTGCAAGGCAAAGTTTCCAAGACAAATTGTTGAAGGGGCGTAGGGGTTGAAAAACGTCATTTGGCACTGTTTGTTGAAGAGTCGATGTGTCTTTGAGGGAGTTGCTGTCATAAAGAATAAGTTGTTTTCAACTTTTATGTCCTTAGGCGAGACGCTCCTGGATTTCTAAAGTTGTGTTGATGAAGCCAGTGTGAAGAAAACGTCTTGTAAACGTAGACAGAACCTCTGCACATGCTTCCATTCCTCAGCTTTTACATAGCTTATCAGTTTTGTGTGGGAAGTAGCACCCGGTTCCTGGTGGAGGGAGTGGCTTTGTGAGCGGGGCCCAGGAGCCTCCGGGAAGGACTGAACTGAGTGCCTTTGGCACAGGAGCTGGAGATTTGGGGACCATGGCTCCCCTGGTGTGGAGCTTGCACACGAGTAGTGCACAGGAGGCCGCCATTTTTTCCCGCCCCTTCTCTTGCAGATTCCGATGTGTCAGGTGAGTCGAAGCACATACGAGCACATACGAGGCTGGGGGTGGAGGAGAGAAGGGGAGCAGGAAAGGACCTGGGAGAGAAAGAGGAGCTGAGTGCCCAGGACCAAGTGCAGGGAAAGGCGGGGCCCGGGACCTTGGACAGCTTCCCTGCAAACAGCCCCGTCATGGTGACTCACTTCCTGATTACAGAGGACTTAATTATTATCCATTGTAGAAATATGAGGTCTGATAATTAAGTTTGCAAACTCAGCCTAGAAAAGGTGCTACATACCTCGTTGCTGAATATCACTACGGTCACCTTTGAAGCACTCCCCTTGGGAAGCTACGCACCCACACCAGTGCCTAGTCCACCCTTCAAAGAAATTTTGGAACTCTTTTTCTGGGATGGCCATCAGAGCTGTCATTGTATTACTCTTGATGTGCTGAATGTCATCAAAATGTCTTCCTTTCAATATTTCCTTTATCTTCGGATAAAGAAAGAAGTCATTGGGGGCCAGATCAGGTGAGTGCGGAGGGTGTTCCAATACAGTTATTTGTTTACTGGTTAAAAACTCCCTCACAGACAGAGCCGTGTGAGCTGGTGGATTGTCGTGAGGCAAGAGTCATGAATCATTGGCAAAAAGTTCAAGTCATCTAACTTTTTCACGCAGCCTTTTCAGCACTTCCAAATAGTCAACTTGGTTAACTGTCCAGTTGGTACAAATTCATAATGAATAATCCCTCTGATGTCAAAAAAGGTTATCAGCATTGTTGCAACAAGTTCACAAATTTAATCGTCAGACCTCATACACGTAGATGTCCCCCCACTGATGAATAGATAGATGGATATTTCTTTTTACAAATGGAATAATATTCCATGGTGTGTGGTCCATCCACATAGTGGAATATTATCCAGCTGTAAAAGAGAGTGAAATGCTGACACACGCTACAAACTTGAATGACGCTCATAAGCGTTTTGTTTCGTGAAAGAAGCCAGACTCAAAAGGCCACATGTTGTATGACTCCGCTTATGTGAAAAGTCCAGAATAGAACAATCTACAGAGACAGGACTCAGATTAGTGGATGCCAGGGTCTGGGGGAGAGGGGATGGGAAGGGACTGTTGACAGGGCATGGGGTTTCCTCTTGGGGTGCTGAAAGTGTTCTGGAATGAGGTGAAGTGCTGGTGGCCCTCCATTGTGAGTGTACGAAATGCCACTGAATTGTACAGTTTAAAATGGTTAATTTTACAGTATATGAGTTTCACTTCAATAAAAAAAAGATACAGGTGGGCTGGCCAAGTGGGTCAGTTGGTGAAGGGTTGGCGTGGGAGTGTGAGCTCTGAACAGCAGGGTCGCCAGTTCGGTTCCCACATGGGCCAAGTGACACTGCGCCCTCTTAAAAAAAAGAAAAAGAGGGCCGGGCAAGTGGCGCGATGGTTAAGA